TGCTCCTTCAGGTGCTTTGCCCCTTTTCCCGAGATGGGAAGTGACACAGTCAGTAAGGAAGCGGAAAAAGGTGGTAAGAGGAAAATTAACATGATGACATAACCCACTAATGAAGTCACACGCTTCTCTGCTCTCTCCTTCCCAAGGACTTTTCCAGGGCCCGAGTCACCACTGGAACAGCTGACCATGGTGGGATTTATCCCTTGTGCACATTTTTGCCAAACTCCATCCAAAGTCACCTTCCACTAGTAACACAAGGCATGTTTTCACATGTTAGGAAAATACACTTCACTCTATGTAAGCAAGTCTAGCGTCCTCTAGAACGTAAACACCAGTAAAACACTCTGATTTAGTAAAGCCTCTGAGCTGAACGAGGCAGAATACTGAGCAGAAATACACATGTTTGTAACTCATGTGTTCTGCCACCTATTGTCTGTTTTTTCCAGAAAATCACAGGATGTCTGATGCTTTGGTCACGTTTCACAGACCGATTTGTACTAGCAGCCTTTGTAAAACTCCAGCTATACTTTACACAAAGCCTGTGTAAGTCCCCTAGGATTAATTACCTCTCTCAGACTCCAATTTATTTAGCAATTAGAAAAATTAGACAGTAGCTGGTGAGTTTGCTGTTTTGAAATGAAAGGCCTTAGGTCTGCTCCCAGGCTAAATGCTAGTTTTAGAAATTTGTTATTTGAAAGCCTCTCAACAAGTACTTTACATTGCAATCTCTTTTTGCATCATTTAGCCTCCAAGGAACTTCCCTTTCAAACTGTGAGCATACTAATGAAAAAAAAACCACCCCTTTTTAGGAATGTAAATTGTTTACCTGAGAGTTTTCAGAATCAGCTTTTTTTCCTCGGTCTGAATTTGTCAGACTAGTAACACTGGTCTCAGGAAATGCATTGTGACACCGCGTAAATGTTGTGACACCATCGGGGAAGCACCAATAAACGTTATCGAGGAGAAACCTTGTCCCATGCAAAATCCAACGCCAGAATCATGTGCTCTCCACAAAATCATCCGGACTTTGAAATACGACATAAGAGAGTAGAATCACGGGATAAATGGATGTCAGAGATGGGCTGCGGGGTCCTCTCAGGCTCTACAAGACTCCCAGTGCCCCAGGAAGCCTCCCTCTTTCCCAGGAAGAAGAGACCTGTAGGCTGCAAAGACCCTGGGCTGTGCAACGCTGGGACAACAAAAATCCGAGCTGTTCCCAGACGGATGACTGCGCAGGCCATACCGCAGCCTGGCCGCCCCAGGGAGCTGGTCTCTCAGCACGTTTACACCAAAATCATGAGACTGCCGTTTTCGACGGCAGCCTTTGGAGCTCCTTACACAGCAGCTGAGAAATCCACCGGCACATACCCCATGGCTTCAGATTCCTTTCACTACTGTCGCAGCCCTTGCAGTGGAGCAGGTTACCAGGACAGTTACCAAGGCTCTAAGACCCAGTTTTTAGCTTTTACTCTGCCTATCGGGCTGTAAGGGCAGCTCTCAGGAGCAGTGGTTCCACTGTCTATTCAACAACTTCTATTCACCTACTACAAATCACCGCCTTGCAGAGCACACACAAATCACTTCACAACATTACCAGTATTTTCTAAGGAACAGCTTGACACACAGAGCACACTGACTTGGAGGATGATGACTGAACAACTGCTGTACAGAAGCTACGTACTGAGCATGAACTGCAGATCTGGAGGGGCTGCAGTTACCAGGGTTCCAGTGCCAATTTGCCCTGAGTAGATGGGGATAGACTGTTCTGCAGCAGCTGAGGTTTTGGCCTAAAGGAATGTAAATATTTGGATATCGTATTACTTGATTAACTCACTAGATAACTTAATGTGAGATGACTGAACAAAGTCTTAAAGAGATCATGCGCATTCCTAATGTAAAGCTTGCAAGAGCTCCTTTTAGTGTACTAGCTTAAGGGACATTTAAGGTTTATATGGGCCGTTTTAGGGATCTTTTAGATGTGGTTCTCGTGTACACTGTAAATTCACTTTGCCTCTCACTATACTTACTCTACTTACATTTCTTGCAGCAGAATTCAACAAGTAGATCGTATCTGATTCCCTCATTGTTCATTTGGTCACACCCTTCCAGGATATTAAAAATCCCTTAATGGCTTTTCATCTATTACACCAACTGTTAAAAATAAACCCAAGTATTTGCTGTGAAATTCTTAATGCTGTCTGCTGGCTCCAGACAGTGGGGACTCTCTGGCCTTGCACAAGTTTTCAGGAAGAAATGTCACATTAGTGGCCCTTTTACCCCAGACATAATGCACGTTAGCAGATTTCTTTATTTACGTCCCTCCTCCAGACCTAAGTGCCGACTGGCCCATGAAAGCCGGCTCTTCTGAGTGTGCGTTGTAGGCCAGATTTTTTTAAGTTTTCTGTAAACCTCCTACACTCTTCATAACCCCTTACAGCCTCCTACAGCCTCCTTGTCTGCTGGGGACTACATAACATGCGCCAGCTACGCACCTTGGAAATGTCAGCGAAGGTGAGTAAGACCGGAGGTGCAGGATAGGACAGGGGATTTGCTGTGCGTTTCCTTTGCTGGCGGAGACCTGGGAAGCAAGAGAACTGCTCCCTGGGGTATGAGTGCTGCAGAGCAACAAGGAGGCAGCATCAACAAAGGACACCGAGTCCCTAAGGATTCACTGCCACTTTTCCGCTCTGAGTAATAATTCCCTGAGAGGGCAGGGAAAGCTGTCAGGGCCGTCTGATTTACAGCTATTCAGCGTTTGACCCTGCTTTTGCAGGAGCTGCCACAGCGGCTGTCCTAAGGACAATAGCTGGGGAGAGATCCAGGGGGAAAGAGGTTCACCCTCCTTCCTCCCCCTCCTCTCCACCGTGAGGTCTGCGTTTTGCTTCTCTGTCACATCAGGTGTCCGTAGGGGCGTCCAGCCAAACTCAACGAGCTGGTGAAGTCTGGGCTTTTACACCTTCTAGACTTGGTAACAAAGCCGCTCCGCCGATTCCGTGCACTCAGGGGGGGTTAAAGCTGGAAAAAAAAATGAGGGCTGTGCTCTATTGTCTGGGTATTGCGCTGCCTCTTTAAAACCAGCAACGCACGGACAGCTCCAAGGTGCCTCCCACTGAGAAAAGGCTTCAGATGCTCGCACCCAGGCAGCGAGCCATCCTCCCCGGAGCGCAGGGCAAACCTGCCCGGCACAGCCCCGACCCTTCAGCCAAGTCCTGCCCTCGGAACGCTCCTGCCAGTGACCCTCGCTGCTCCGCTGACAGCCGCACATTCCCAGGGGAGAAACCTGGAAGCTGTCCCCAGGGTGCCCGAGACCTCCAAGGAGACGGGAACAACTGCAGGTACCGTTAGCTGATGGTGTCATGTCAGTCTACGGATGGTTGGCTCGTCCTTATTTATTTTAAAGCGCACCCTCGGTATTCTGCAGGGAAACCTGTCTGGAACAGGTGCTGCACCTTGCTTTGACCAACAGATTTTGCATCCAAGTGTTTATTTCATACTTCTCTTACATGAATGTTCACATTTCCAGGCAGCCGTGGGGATGCCTTGTAAGGCAGTCAATGGTTTGAACTATTATTTAGTTTCAGGCTTTGGCTTTCTGTTGTTCTGTCATTCTGCACCCCTCAGTTGGAAAAGCAACGTGGAGACAGAAGATGCACAAGACAGTTTCTCTCAGAAACGTATTAAGTGTCGGTACATCAGGGGCCGAGGGTGGTTCCAGGGGAAGGATGGGGCGACAGCTCCACTATGCAGATTGTTCTTTGTAGCCGCGATGGACATTGTTCGGTAGCATTTGACACCCTGAAGACCTACTGCCTCAATGCAGAAAAAGCGGTAATGCCTCCCGGTTCTTTTCGGTGATGGGGTGGGACTGTCCTGACAGCTGGGAGCCTGGTGTGAGGCTTCCCAGACGTGGCATGGGAAGATAAAAGAAGACAGCCCTCCCAGCATTTTGATACAGGGTAGACGCAAAATTAGGGAGTAGATATTTTTTTTCCCCAGTGTGGAGTCCTGACAGCTGGGAGCCTGGTGTGAGGCTTCCCAGACGCGGCATGGGAAGATAAAAGAAGACAGCCCTCCCAGCATTTTGATACAGGGTAGATGCAAAATTAGGGAGTAGATTAGATATTTTTTTTCCTCAGTGTGGAAAATAACTCAATTTTTAACATTTGTAACAACCAGCGGTATGAAGAGGGGAGCCTGCTCCTCCCCATCTTCAAAATTCCAGGTACTTTGTCTTAGTCAGGAAGATTTTCCCTTTCACCTCAGGCGCCTGTTTGTGGAAGCGCTCTCCCTGTGAACCACAGGTTTGCCTCCACAGCAAAGCCCGACACGCTGGTCCACGGGACCAAATCTTTCCTGTGCAAATTGGCCGAGCTCCACTGCTTTGAGAGAAGAAATAGGATTATGCTGGCTGAAAATTTGGTCCCCCTACTCAATTAACAGCTGCCAAATGGAAAGTGCTGGCTTCACTATTTTCTTGGGTCTCGGCAACTCTTACTTAATTAAGAAATGTATTTAGAAGCCAGGACATCGGTTGTTTTTTTTTTTTTTATTTCTCACCTACTACTTTTCTCTGACTGGCACATCTAGAATAAAGCAAAAACTTTGTCCAAAAGGCACATCAGATATTTTTCAGCAAATGCAGGTATCACCTCGTTTTAGCTTTTTTTTTTTACCTTGCGCAGGGACGGCAGCACCGTGGGCTTGAAGGCTGGCAGAGGTTTAAACTGGATTTCACACTCCTCCTGTGCTGTCATTTCACTGTGTGCTGAAAACAAAATTTCGTCGTTGGTAAATAAAACTGCTGGGTGTAACAACCGGTGTATTATGCAACTCAAGGGATTTTATGATAACAGAGGCATCCTTGCACAGTGTATTTCCACCCACTGTGCACAGCCAGCAATAGAGCTGTGGGGCAATAAGGTGGCTACTGCTTTCCCTCAAGCACAGTATTTTGCTGTAATTTCCTCTCAGAAAGTGTTTTCCTCTTTTTGTTCCCACAGAAGGAGGTAAATGAGGCTGTTGCTCTATAATCTTGCAGGGACAAAGACAAGGTGACTCACTGCTCAGAAGGAAACTTTGAATGAGGTCTCTCGCCTGCCACCGTCACGCCCTGCCACCTTGGGCAATTCTGACACAAAACCAAGGGCCAGCTGAGCCACATGTGCCAGAAGAAGACAGACATGGCCACGGAGCAAGCTGAACATAACCCAAATGCTACCATCAACCTGCACTTTGCTGCAATCTACAATCTCCACGATGGGGATTTAACCTCCTTGCGAAACTTCTCCTTCCCTTTCAATTTCAGTTACAGCGATTACGACCTGCCGCTTGACAGTGAAGACGACGTGACCAAAACCCGCACCTTCTTTGCAGCCAAGATTGTGATCGGGGTGGCTCTGGTTGGCATCATGCTGGTCTGTGGCATCGGCAACTTCATCTTCATTGCTGCTCTCGCCCGCTACAAGAAGCTGCGAAACCTCACCAACCTGCTGATTGCCAACCTGGCCATCTCGGACTTCATTGTGGCCATCGTGTGCTGCCCCTTCGAGATGGACTACTACGTGGTGCGGCAGCTCTCCTGGGAGCACGGCCACGTCCTCTGTGCCTCAGTCAACTACCTACGGACTGTCTCCCTCTACGTTTCTACCAATGCTCTCCTGGCTATAGCTGTTGACAGGTAAGTGGGGTGCTATCACTGCACAAGGAGATGGCCAGAGCTTCTGGGGCTGGCTATCCAGACTTCCCGGTTTTTAACATGCTCAGCTGTTCTGTAGGATCTGATGTCGAGGTAAGTACTACGCAGACCTGAGTATCTTGTTTCCTAAAAATCTAATCACATGAGGTCATGTCATTATCCTGGAAAAAGCACGGTAGAAATTTCTTGACTGAACATTCCAGGTGAAAAAACGTTGATTTATTAAAATGATTCCTTTTTTTTTCCCCATAAAAATGT